CCTGCGGCTGCGGGAGGGCTGGGCGCGGAGCCCGCGCCAGGCAGGGAAAGCGGGGCGGGCCGGGGAGCAGGGCCAAGAGCGCGGCCCTTGTGCGCACTTGTGCCAGCGAGCGCAGCAGAGCGCTACAACACCCAGCGCTGGCTCGGGCCAAACTGAGGGCCAGAAAGAAACCCTGTGATTCAGGGCAGGGGCAGAGGAGAGAGATTTAATTAAAAAAAAAAAAAAAAGAAAAAGATATGAATAAGCTTGGCAGCCTCAACCTTATTCAGTCTGCAAACAGTAATTCCAGTAAACCTAAGTAGCAGTGTCTGTCCCCACTGAGCCAACATTGCAATGATGCTGGAGGTGAAGTCTTGCACTGACGGAAAGTTAATGAGCACCATCTTCATATAAAGCAAGTGCTCCTGAATTGGTTATTGTTTGAACATGACAAACAGTCACATACGTGATTATATCTTGGTATTATATTGATATCAAATACATATTTGAGGAGTTACTTATTCAGACAAAAATAAATAAACAGCAGATTTTCAAGAAAGATTTATTTCCACTTGTCCTTACAAGTTGAAGACAATATGCTTTTTATTAAAAAAAACAGTATTGTGCACTATTTAGAAAATGGTAACATCTTTCTTGTCAAAGAAAATACATCCAACTATCCTGCCTACCATTAAGGATAGGTGTATTTTTTTTTGAGTGATCCTCAGAATGTGTCAGTAGAAGACGCATATAGGTCAGAATAAAGATTACCAGCAGACAGATACATGTTCCTGTATAATTACACGTAGGTTAACACACAGAGGAATTGAATTAATCTACCAACTAGTGCTCCATGGGCTCCTCTGCCTTTTCTGCAGGTTCATCAGCAGGTGGAACAGGCTTAAAGAGAAGAAAGAAAAAATTAATTAAGGGCAGAAAATAACACCTAACAGCAATCAGCTTTATACCTGGTTGAGCCTCGCAAGTGGAAAAGACAGCTCACATAAGCAAACAGCTTACAGGCAGAGTTATATAAATCAAGCATGCAGAAGGACAGAGCTAGTAATTAGAAGATGGGGGTGGGAACACAGGACATGAGGAATATATGTAACAACTTCTGCTGCAAGAGAGTGAAAGAATAATCCTAGATATGGAAGGAAGATGAAGCCATTGGAAAGGCCTTCTGCCAATTCTCTATAAACTCATTTAACAAGCAGCTTACTTTCCAGCTTCAGTCTTCAGACTGAGATTACATTGTGTCCTGTTTTCATGTAAGAACATTCAATGCTAACAGTGCCTACCTAAAGCTCTACTAGACAGTAAGAAAATTCAGTGTCATAAGCATAAATGTTTATGGGTCATGCATCACAAAACACTGCCTTTCAAAAAAGCCTATATTTTTGCAGATAAAACACAAACCTTTCTTTGTGGTCTCTCCTCAAGACCTTCTAGGAATAGCGCTACATCATCATCATCATAGATGGTAAACTCCATGTCTTTGCCCACAATTCCAATGGAAACATTCTGTCAAGTAAAATTTTGAAAGAAGTGAGACACATTCTTCTGCAAATAACTTAATCGCTTTACATTGTTTGCTTGTGAAATGAATTCAAGTTTCTTCCTCTAATACAGGAGTTCCACTCAAGGAACCCAACTTTCAGTGGGTTGCACTAGAAAAGGAAAGGGACTAAGGGCAGGAGGGAGATGTATTCCTTACAGAAGCTATAACCCTTCAAAATCTTTCTAATAAAACCACTAAGGTTTTATTGAAAAACAAGGTTTCAATTTGTCTATTGTTTTCTTTTAAATAAACGATACCAAATTTTTCAAAATCATTGATTTTCACCTCCCCGTTTTCTTCTTTTTTCTTTTGCCCAACTCTTTTGGCAAGAGCTATATTTTACATTCATTTTGTCACAGTAACTTCTAAGAGCAAATGGCAGTAGAATTAATTATTTTTTAAAAAAAATATTTTTTAAAGAAAGACAGTATTTACT